GGGCTTATGCGTTCTCCATGACCCTGGCACTCCAGAGGTGGCATTCAGTGTCAGACCTCTTAGTGCGCTAGTCACTCTCTGATATTCTATATGCAGTAGTGAATGTGGGAAGGACTGTGATCATAATACGCTCACTACTTGGCTATTGTTTTTGTTTTAATATTCAACTATAGTAGTGTTTTAAAAGTTAAATGAAGAATAAACACAAATATAAAAGCTCTGACTTTGCCCTGTATGTATAATGACTTCAAGGTGCAAGATGAAAGTTTAATATTGTAAAAATTACATTAAAAGTTCCCTAGCATATGTTAGGCCATATCTTGTGTAACTGATAATAGCTGTGTACATTAGACTGACATGCTAGTTATGTGTTGTATGTTAAACTATGAAATTAAAATTCTGTATTTAACTGGTTAAAAAAAGACATAAGATGACACATAGTCTAGTTTTTAAACAATGAGTATGGCGTGAAAAATGAAATGTAATGTACAATTCTTTTTTTTTAATTTCAGGTAAATATAAAATTTTGAATGCTTGCCAAGAGTCTTGACAACTCTACAGGTTTCATACATTTGGGATTATAGATTGAGTAATAGCATCAATTCCTATTCCCCCACCCCCACAAAAGTTTATTTTATTCCCAATGACGTAGCAGCTTCAATTATGGCCTCTTTCTAAAATCTCCAATTTCTCCCCATATAGTAGTTTTTCTCTAACAATTAAACAAAGTTAACAAACTCCTATCCTAAAAGAAAAACAGAAAAGAAGAGGGAGGGGAAGACATATATTTTTGTTTATGAATATACTTTGTGTTCATTTTAAAAATACAGCAATTCTGTACATTTGTAATTCCACTGCTAGAGTGGTAGGAGTCATTCAATTGAGCAATCTTTGGAACAGAGAAAGCTTGAGAGAGCTAAAGGCATCTTTGTTTTCAGCAGCTCTATTGGTAGTAAAATGAGCAAGAATTCTATGGTAACTATCTTGATTCAACTGGCTCAGTCTTTTCTCTAGGAATGACATTTGTTGAAGGCTGAACCTTCATAAAAAGCATTAAAAAATGAGACAAACGATACTGGCTTCTAATTCCATTTTACCGTGCAAAAATATTTATGTATGCATACATTTGACAAATTAACAATAGCATGTATTTACTGTGTACAAAACGTTTTGAAAGATGCGTCCATTGTGAAAAAAAACTCAGTAAAGCTAAACGACATTGGTATCACCTCACATGTTTATCAGCCTTTTGTGATGAGCATCTCTTAAAATCTATTCTCAAATATTTTTTAAATCCTCAGAGCTTTAGTAAACTAATCTCTTGGGAGGAAGGGCATGTTATAAATAGAGCATTAGAAATGAGGAACATAAATAGGTTCTTTGAAATAACACAGGTAAAAGATGTTTATCCTGTCCCTTATTTGGTTAATAGAAGTAGCTGAGAAATATTTGCCTTCATCAGTGGTGAAGTTTAGGGCTGGCTTACAGTGAGCTGTTTAACAGGCTTATTCTAAGTCATGAATGAACTTAGCTTCTTTTCACGTTCCTAATATTTACCATACTTAACAATCCCTTTCTTTTTTTAACTTTATTTTCATTGATACATTATTTTATTTTATTTTTTATATTACTTACAGTTTATTTACTTTGTATCCCAGGTGTAGCCCCATCCCGCATTCCCTGCCAATCCCACCCTACCTCCCTCATCTTCTCCCATGCCCTTCCAAGTCCACTGATAGGGGAGGTCCTCCTCCCCTTCCCTCTGACCCGAAGCTATCAGGTCTTATCAGAACTGGCTGCATTGTCTTCCTCTGTGGCCTGGTAAGGCAGCCTAACCCCTCAGCAAGAAGTGATCAAAGAGCCAGTCACTGAGTTCATCTCAGAGACAGCCCCAGGTTCCCTTACTAGTGTACCCACTTGGACGCTGAGCTTCCATGGGCTACATCTGAGCAGGGGTTCTAGGTTATCTCCATGCATGGTCCTTGGTTGGAGTGTCAGTCTCAGAAAAGACCCCTAGGCTCAGATTTTTTTTGTTCTGTTGCTCTCTTTGTGGAGCTCTTGTTCCCCCCAGGTCTTTCTATCTCCCCATTCTTTCATAAGATTCCCTGCATTCTGCCCAAAGATTGTCTATGAGTCTCAACATCTTCTTTAATACCCTGAGCATTGAACATCTTACAAGAAGAACATCTCCTTCTTGCTTAGCTTATTTAGGTGAATACATGTTAGTATGATTATCCTATATTATATGTCTAATATCCACTTATAAGTGAGTATATATCACGTGTATCTTTCTGCTTCTGGGATACCTCACTCAGGATGATCTTTTAGAGTTCCCACCATTTGCCTGTAAGTTTCATGATTTATTTGTTTTTTAATTGCTGAGTAGTATTCCTTTGTGTAAATGTCCCACAATTTCTAGATTCATTCCTCAATTGAGGGACATCTGGGTTGTTTCCAGATTCTATTCTGGCTATTATGAATAAAGCTGTTAGAAACATGGTTAAACAAACGTCCTTGTTGTGTACTTTTCTTTTTAAGCAGTAAAAAAGAGAACCAGCTCAAAACTTTGCTCACACAAAAACCATCCTGAACCACAGGAGATGTGGATGAGGAGATAGATTGGGGAAATGGGTACAAATTAGAATCTTAGTAGGTGAATGAGAAGGCTGGCATATAACAAAGTGTCATGGTTGTGTAAATTTCTGATATGGTGTCCATTGAATGAGGGGAAAATAATGAGTTGGAGCAGGGTTTAGCTTTTCACTGACTTCATAGTGACTATTAAGTAACTGACTGACAGTTATCAGTAGGTATATGGAATAGAGCTCTGCAAAAGTCTAGGTTTTTACTCTGGGATAATCTGAAAGCATCTCTGTGGAGATTCTCCTTACTTCCATTATCTTTGCTTCACAGTGTCATGCCATAGGCTCTCTGGGAACTAGAATACAGTGACAAGTCAGTTCACTTAAAGAAGTCTTTAGTTTGAATAGAGATGAATGCTGTGCAAATATATGAAGTTAAAGTAGCCTGCACTTTCTTTCTTTCTTTTTTTTTTTTTTTTTTGTTGGAAAATCTTTTAATGACAAGCCATAAGTAACTGACAAGTAATTAACGTTGTTCCTGCTTTTTCTCACTTCTGTCTTCAGATTTCCAAATCTGGTGGGTAGGTAAAGCTTTTTTTTATTACTTTTTTTAATTTTATTTTATTAATTACACTTTATTCATTTTGTATCCCCCCTTAAACCCCTCCCTCCTCCCCTCCCCATCCTACCCTCCCTCCCCTTTCTGCATGCATGCCCCTCCCCAAGTCCACTGATAGGGGAGGTTCTCCTCTCCTTTCTGATCTTAGTCTATCAGTTCTCATCAAAAGTGGCTGCATTGTCCTCTACCGTGGCCTGGTAAGGCTGCTCCCCCCTCAGGGGGAGGTGATCAAAGAGCAGGCCAATCAGATTATGTCAGAGGCAGTCCCTCTTTCCATTACTATGTAACCCACTTGGACACTGAACTGCCATGGGCTACATCTGTGCAGGAGTTCTAGGTTATCTCCATGAATAGTCCTTGGTTGGAGTATGGGTCTCTGGGAAGTTCCCCGTGTTCAAATTATCTTGTTCTGTTGCTCTGCTTGTGGAGTTCCCATCCCCTCCAGCTCTTACTATTTCCCACTTCTTACATAAAATACCATTCACTCTGCCCATCAGTTGTCCATCAGGCTCAGCATCTGCTTTGACAGTCTATACTGCAGAGGCTTTCAGAGGCCCTCTGTGGCAGGTTCCAAGGTTGTTTCCTGTTTTCTTCTGGCTTTCAGAGGCCCTCTGTAGCAGGTTCCAAGGTTGTTTCCTATTTTCTTTTTCTTCTGATGTTCATCCTTTCAGGGTGGGGATTGAACATTTTAGTTAGGGTCCTCTCTTTTGCTTAGTTTGTTTAGATGTACAGATTTTAGTGGGTTTATTCTATGTTGTATGTTTATATGAGTGAGTATACTGCACTTTCTTTCTTAAAGCACCCTTTGCTTTGTCTCCTTTAACAGAATTTCTTTTTTTACCTTTTTCTTTTTTTTTTAAATATTAGTCACAGTTTATTAACTTTCTATCCCAGCTGTACCTGCTCCCTCATTCCCTCCCAATATCACCCTCCCTCCCTGACCTCCTCCCTGCCCCTTTCCAAGTCCACTGATAGCAGAGGACCTCCTTCCCCTTTCATCTGACCCTGGTTTATCAAGTATCTTCCGGACTGGCTGAAATGTCTTCCTCTGTGGCCTAGCAGGGTTGCTCCTCCCTTGAGGGATGGGGGTCAAAGAGCCAGCCATTGAGTCCATGTCAGAAATAGTCCCTGTTCCCCTTACTAGGGTACCCACTTGGATACTGAGCTACCATGGGCTACATCCGAGCAGGGGTTCTAGGTTATATACATGATTCTTGGTTGGAGAAACAGTCTCATAAAAGGCCCCTGTGCCCAGATATATTCGGTCCTTGTGGAGCTCCTGTCCTCTCCAGGTCATATTAATTCCCCCTTTTTTCATATGATTACCTGTACTCTGCTGAAGGTTTGGTTTTGAGTCTTAGTATCTGCTTTGGTACACTGCTAGGTAGAGTCTTTCAGAGGCCCTCTGCGGTAGGCTCCTGTCCTGTTACTTTTCTCCTACATCCAATGTCCATCCCATTTGTCTTTCTAAGTGAGGATTGATTATCTTACCCCTGGTCCTCTTTCTTGTTTATCTTCTTTAGGTGTATAGATTTCTGAATGTTTATCCTATCTTATAGGTCTAGAATTTCAAGAGACCACACCTAGCATGCCTTTTCTATTCTTTTGGGCAGCCATTATACTTGGGTTTGCTGGAAACCAAAATCAGTTCTCTGATAAATAAGTGAGCTATTAATCCCCTTTACCATTGGTTTATGTTTAGTCTTCAAGGAGAGATTTCTCTTAGTTGTAAGTATGGTCCAAATTATAAGAGAAATATTGTAAAGTGTAACTATAGTACATAACAAACTTTGCCTACATTTAGTATATCCACATCTTTATTTTTAACTGAAATCCCAACAAAGCCCATGTAACCATAAACATTCATGAGGTACAAATAATAATATTTGTAATACAGAAAGCTCCCAATAGTGACTGAATTTAAACCATGAAATAAAATCTATGAGTGAGATTCATGAAGTTGACTCTGGTTGGGGGTAAGTTTTGGTGTAAGATTTCTCCTGAGAGTTTCTATAGCACTGCAGTTACAACTTCAGCTAACTAAGCCTGTCACGGGTCTTTCAGAAGACAAGACCGAAGCACTGGGTGTGTTCACTGTAACAGAAGCTTAATCTCAGTTCCTACTGGCAAAATTTAGTATAGCACAGGTGTTATGTTGGCTGCACAGCAACAAGTCTGAATGCAGGAAATTATCAGGCAGTGCTTGAAAGCCTATTATAAGCTCGAATTGGGGAATTGGGTAGGATCACTGATAGGTACAAGAGACATGCTCAGCCACAGCCTTAGTCTACAAGCATATACCTGACTGTATTCTACATTAAATCTAAAAGTTTGAGAAAGAGTCTACATTTTTCTCTCAGTTGTCCAAACATATCAGACTTCTCCTCCCACATTTTCCATGTACAAATAATTTTGAACACTTTTCCCTTTTCATATAAATACCCACAGTGCTCCATGCCCACAGCTGTTATTGGATAGTCTCTGGTGGAGCTGTTTGGAGGCAGAAGGTCTCAGTGGGAACACAAGGGCCGTCCTCTTGAGACAGCCCCATGCAGCCACTCCCTTTGTTCAGCTGGCTAGGCTCCTGACCCTCCTGCCTCCCTTGCCTGAGGTCTGGGCATAACAGGAGCAGCTGATCGCGGCCTGACAGCTGGTATCTGAGCAACCGCTGTTGGGCCTCCTTCCAGTTCCCAGGCTCCTGTGGCCTCAGCTGCTGAGCAGGAGATCCAGGAACACAGGTGATTCTGGGACTGCTCTGGGCAGGTGTAGCTCCTTCCTCTGGGGCAGTACGGTGGCTAACTTTCCTTTTAGACACTCCGTCCATTGAGTGTTGGGAAAACTGGTCATGTCTTCCCTGAATGACCTTCATTCTCACATCTATAAAAAGAAACGTAAGGAAGGAATGAACTTAGTTTTCAATCAGTTTGATTACATGAGTTATATATTTGGCTATCAGGACAGCAGAGTCAAACAACAAAATATTGCATGACATCTATTCACCAATTTCCACATAAATTTAGCATTATTTCTTTTAAAAATACTATATTTTCCACTCAATTTATAATTAATATTAGCCATATTTTAAAATGTGATTCTATAATTCTCAAAGGAAAAACACTGATATGGTGTTACTAAATTAACAATTGTGCTTAATCATAAATTTGGGCCAAATTTAAAATCCATATGACAGCCAAGACTAAATATCAAACCAACTAACATGTGTATTAAGGAAGCTGAATCAAAAAAAGAAAACTAGTGATTTACTCCCAGATTTGCTTTAATAATCTAAATTAACACATAGTACAATTATAAAAGTCAACACATGTTCCACACTAATTCCACATGTAATTTTTGTCCTTAAAACAACTAATGCATGGAGCATTATTATCTCTGTGTGTGCTATAACGGAGCTAACACACAAATTAAGTAACTTTCTAAGACCACAAATAAAGCAGGAACAGGCCTTACGGAAGAATTCAAGTATTTGGATCTACAGAGTCTGTGAAACTGAGACCACCCCAATACTGTGTAAAGATTAGAACAACCACAGGGAATTAAGAAACAAGAATAAGAGTCTTATTATTAAACAAGAAATAAGTCTTGGTGTGCTTTCACTGTCCTCTCCCTAGCTGGCTGAGTGATTGTCCTCCTGCTGCTCAGCATCTCTTGGCTCTAGCTACATAATTTTATACTGTTCTCAAATGCATGGGACAATGTCATGCATATGAGAGAACAACTTTCATGGGCCTCATTGTTGACAAAAATGAGATATCTGTCTAAATTCCTGGGAAGTAGATAGTAACACCAGCATCTTCACTTATTATGCCCATTTTCCTTGCATTTCCCCTCCAATTACCCTCTTTATTCTTCAGTACACACTACAGATAACGTTTTACTAACGGGTACGTTATACAGTTACAATTTGCTGAGAGCTGCCTTTCTATCACTGTTGTTAGAAGACAGCCAGCACATCTCTACTCTATCAGGAGAAACATGGCACGAAGTACCAGTTTCAACATCAATTCATTCTAACAGTGGATTGACAAAATGATGTGAAGATGTGTGAAGGCAATCACACCTATGAATATATGAAGGATGCTTTTTATTTACAGTGGGAAAATGAGAGGAAACCATATTGCTTGTATTGTTGCCACAGTGTATGGATTAGTATCTGAGAAGCACGATGCTAGTCATAGCTCCTCCATCCATCCTTTTCCAGACTCTTGTTGCCTGCCATTTATCTGTCAGAGTCACCTAACCATGGCATGATTCTCTTCCTGAGAACCAGGAACTTCTGGGTTGTGCTAATTTTCCTACAGGGTGTGCAATTCCTCCCAGAAGTAATTCTGGACAGCTCAGCTACATTGATTTATATCTCAATGCACACTAACTGGGGTATGTCACTTGGCCTATGCCAGTGCCTTTCATTGGTCACTTTCACTGCTGTGGGGGCCCTTTCTTCCTCATAGGTGTTTGAATGCCTTCAAGGGAGGAAGTTTTTCCTGTCATCAACTTTGTGCAGTCTCCATGCCTCTCACATTACCTGTACCGGACTTGGTATCACCTCTGTAACTACTGTTCTTCCCAGGAGGGAAAGATGGTTTGTCAGCATCAGCAAACAACCAAGGAACAAAAATAATAAATGGTCCTATAGAGGCAGACTTTCAAAGAAAAACGGGCTTTCAATTTTAATCCCTTCATAAAACCAACACCACGACATACCTGAGGAATCAAACACTACAAGTCACTTTTTCTAAACCCATTGAAGATGTTCTTAGTCTGGTTTTGAGAGACCTTCCTTGGAAATCTCTCTGCCCTCTTGTTTTTCAAGTTTGTATCTATTCATAAAAGACTAATGCAAGCCCAGCTTCCTTTTGCAGACCCCCAAACATTTAAAAAAAATCTCCCATGAATTATTTACATGGTGGCTCCAATCAGCAACATACCTGACAGACTCCCCAGCTGAAATGAAAGTTCACAGTGTAAAGGTGCCCAGGGAGGCTGGCCACCTCCCACTGTGAGCTTATAGACAGAACTAAGTCAGCACACATTATGTGTCACTGCCGACATCAGAAGGAATCAGCTCCTTTGATCTTAGACCTCCACAGGAAGCTTAGATCTCAGACAAATTAGATAAAAAATGAATTTATAGCAGATATGTATCCTAAGGCATTCAGCTGAATGTTTGGATTTTAGGGAAGGGAGGAGAGTGAGTATGAAAACATATGAAACAACATGCCTCTTTGCCATTTCATCCTGGTTGATGGGTCTCTGCCAAAATGGGAACATGACTTCAGATTACCCAACCATGCTCCTTACAATTGGTCATCAGGTGTGATGACACTTCAGGAAGAACAAGCTAAAACACGGGCAAGACATTGCCCTGTGCTACTAAAATAAGGACTCATTATGCTGAGGACCTTCTGCCTGCATACATAGTTAGCTGTAACTTCTCACTCTCTCTTAGTCTCTTTGACTTTCAGAACATTCTCAAACAGCAAGCACATGGTATGCCTCTCACTTGTATGGTTTGCTCTGAGTATCCTTCACTAGAAGTTTTCCTTCTTCCCCTCCCTTCCTCCCTCCCTTCCTCCTTTCTGTCTTTCTTTCTTGCTTGATTCCTTCCTTCCTTCTTTCCTGTATTCCCTCCTTCCCTTCCTTCCTCCTTTCTTTCTTTCTTGTTTGCATGATTAATTCCTTCCTTCCTTCCTTTCTTCCCACCCCCCCTTTCCTGTCTGTCTTTTTTTAAAAGTATGAAAATTAACATGTAATCGAATTTAAAAATGGGGTACATGTTGTGTACTTGAGAATATTTTGGATATATGCCTAGGAGCGGTATAGCTGGATCTTGAAGAAGCACTATTCCTAATTATCTGAGAAAGGACAGTATGAATTCCAAAGTGGTTGTAAAATTTACATTCCCACCAGCAATGGAGGAGGGTTCCCCTTTCACCACATCCTCTCCAGCATGTATTGTTACTTGAGTTTTTTATATTAGCCATTCTGATGGGGTATAAGGTGAAATCTCAGGGTTGTTTTGATTTTGATTTGCACTTCCCTGATAACTAAGGATGTTGAGCATTTCTTTAAGTGTTTCTTGCTCAACCATGTTTGTAACAGCTTTATTCATAATAGCCAGAACTTGGAAACAACCAGATGTCTTTCAATGGAGGAATGGATACTGAAATTGTGGCACATTCACACAATGGAATACTATTCATCAATTAAAAACAAGGAAATCATGAAATGTGCAGGCAAATGGTGGGAACTAGAAAAGATCATCCTGAATGAGGTATCCCAGGAGCAGAATGACACACACGGTATATATTCACTTATAAGTGGGTATTAGACATATAACATGGGATAAACGTACTGAAATCTGTACACCTAAAGAAGTTAAGCAAGAAGGAAGACCTGGGGTAAGAGGCTAAATCCTCATTCAGAAAGGCAAATAGGATAGAACTCAGAAGACGGAGAAAACAGGGAACAGGACAGGAGCCTAACACAGAGGGTCTCTGAAAGACTCTACCCGTCAGGGTATTAAAGCAGATGCTGAGACACATAGCCAAACTTTGAGCAGAGTGCAGGAAATCTTATGAAAGAAGGGGGAGATAAAAAGAGCTGGAGGGGACTGGAGCTCCACAAGGAAAGGAACAGAACCAAAAAAATCTGGGCGTAGGGGTATTCTCTGAGACTGATACTCCAACCAAGGAACATGCACGGAGATAACCTAGAACCCCTGCTCAGATATAGTCCATGGCAGCTCAGTCTCCAAGTGGGTTCCCCAGTAATGGAAACAAGGGCTGTCTCTAATATGAAATCAGTGGCTGGCTCTCTGATCACTTCACCCTAAGGAGGGAACAGCCTTACCAGGCCATAGAGGAAGACAATGCAGCCAGTCCTGATGAGGCCTGATAGACTAGGGTCAGATGAAGGGGAGGAGGACCTCGCCTATAAGTGGACTGGGGAATGTGCATGGGAGGAGAAGAAGGAGGGAGGGCAGAATTAGGAAGGGATGAGGGAGGGGGCTACAGTTGGGATATGATGTGAATAAATTGTAATAAAATAAAACATTTAAAAAATAAACATAAAAAAAAAGAAACTTAAGGAGTGTCTTCTGGCTCCCAACTCTCATCTGAAGTGTTCATATTTTTCTTTTTATTTTTAAAATTTATTAATTACAATTTATTCCCTTTGTATCCCAACTGCAGTCCCCTCCCAATTCCTCCATCCCTCTTTTTCACCCATGCCTCTCCAGGAGTCCATTGATAGGGGGCTCCTCCTCCCCTTCCATCTGATGAGACCTGATAGACTAGGATCATATTTTTTCTTAACCTGGTTCTGTATATGATGCTCATTGTTGAACCACTTAAATTCACAATACAGTTGTTTTATATGAGACTCGTGCTGTCTGAAGCTGAAGTCAGGAGAAAGAACCAAATCCATTACTTGTTAGAAAGGCTGGGAACCTTGCCCATGTGTTAGAGACAACAATGTCAATGTCACATTGCATAAGGTGATTAAAATGACACTAAATTAAGTTAAAGGTGTTTGTAATTATGAAATCTATTTATAAATGCATCACCATGCCATACTCTATTCAAGTGCTTCTTGAAATTGTTTGGCAAATATATACTTTTTAATAGGTTCACAGTATCTTTCAGTAATATCTTTCAAAGCTAACCACATATTTAAGCCACTTTCATCATGCTACCTAACTATATCCTCCGAGCTTACTGTACTAGTTCATTTTGTGTTGCTGTAAACAAACAAACAAACAAACAAAAAACCCTAAGCCAGGGTAACTTTAGAAGAAAAGGGGTCAGCTTTAAATGCTAATACCATCTACAAATTGTCTTCAGTGTTGTCTTTTTATT